TGTCCAGTGGTTCTCATCAGCAGTATTGTATAATTAGAGATTGAAATGTCTAAATACACACCAGTTCCTGAGTATATATGCATGTTTACTGACCTAAACCTTTTTGTGTTGACTTGTTTCAGGAGGAATCTCCCCTTGAAATTATATGGTTTGCCCACCAACTACAGAGCCTAGAGGAGACATTTTTCTGCCCATACTGTTCAACTACGAAGAGCCCCAGGGAGCTGCACCGGTTGTGCAATTAATTTATCCTCATGGTGGTATCTGACAGCAGTGAGTAGGCATAGTTAACTCATTAGTTTTGGGATTTCCAGAGGGAGAGCCCGAATCAACCTATGATCAATGGACGACCCGCTAAACCAACAGATACTGCCCCCATGTAGCAGCACCATAAAGGAGGTTTTCCATTATTGAGCTGTTCAGAATCCATTGATATTTTCAACAAATTACATTATTCTTATGGGTTTTTTGGGCTGATTGTGTTACATTTTAAGATACTATGGAAGTCTATGTCAGTGCTCGGTCAAAACGACACAAAATACCTTATATACCTATATCACTATAACCTGATGAACTTATATCAAAGTAAGCATGGCACACAATCCTCAGAGTAAGCATATATAATATATAAAATATTTTATTTCTGTGACTCATACAATGTGACATCTGCCTTGCACCTCCACTCGCTTTATAAAAAAGCCACATAGCGAAGGCACGTCAGAGTCAGTGAGTCACTTTAGACAGATGTTACCACTGAAAATAAATGACTGTCGCACATCTTCCTCCAGCTCCTCTGCACCTCCACCTGCAGCCTCCAAAAAGTGTAAATGGGTTCTTTGTTCTTTAACGCATTTTACTTTGCTGTTTCTTTCTGTAGTAATTTCTGGCACTGTGCTGTTTTGGTACTACATTTATGCATAATTACGTATCATCAACTTACTGATAGTGTTTTGCGCCTTGTTTGCTTCATTAGATAAACAATAGTCTCCTTCATTAGCTCTTGCACCACTGTGCATCTAGAGGCTGTGCTGATCCCCCTCCAAGTGCGACACAACCGCACCATTTCAAATCTCCTGATTATTATGTACAGTTTGTGGAAAGAATGTAAAGTTAAAATATTTAAGCAGATAAAAGTGTTACTGAGGAATTTGTCACAGGGACCTACTTAACACCATGTAAAAGACATATAATGGGCTTAGCTCCCATCCTGACGTACATTCTGTAATCAGGGCAATTGTGGTACATTGATGCATGTCCCTTGTGCAGTGGTCCAGATGTACAAAGGTTCTGGGTTAAAGTTGTGAATAGTGTCTGATCTTGATTAGGGAAGAAACTCCACATGGAGCCGGCACTTTCTTCTCTAAATGAATGACTCCGGTTGAGGTTGTGAGGTACGAACGTAAACGTCTGGTTGCTGGCATGACTGGGCGGGGCAAAGCAAAAAGATTTATAGTTAAGGTGGCTTCCACGTCATCAGCCTCGCATTAATAATTCCAAGCTCAAACGTCTGCAGATGTGGCAAAAAGTGAAGAGGATTTGAAGCATTATTGTCCATGACCTTTGAGTTTCATCTGTGTTAACGCTGTCATGTTTGTAATCCTGTACATCACATTGTACTATTTGATTGTTTTGATTCTGATTCTGTAAAAGGTATTGACTGTGTGTCCATGGGGAGGGGGGAGGGGAGGAAGTGGGAGGATGTGGCGGTTGTTGTGTGTACTAATGTTTATGTTTAGTTCCTGTGTTATTAATGTTACATTCAATAAAAAGTTGATTGCAAACAAAAAAAGTTGTTACTGGAGAATGCGGGCATCGATCCGCTACTCTCCTTTTGCTGCATCCTGTCAATTCGCCAAAGTAAGCCCAAATAAGCCCAAAAATGAGCCAATCACGTTTCTCCCCTGTGGCTTACTTTTTGACCAACACGTTTTCTCCCTCCTGTTACTTTGCTTACTTTTCGGTGTTTCGGTAACGCTAGTCTGATCAGATGTCAGCTATCGGACTGCCAGTCCGTTGGTGTTTCATGGTTTTCATCCTTTATCAATCACAAGGTAAGATAT